TCTCCTTGAGATGCCTGTCTGAAGGACTCTATTAGGTCACCCCATTTACATTTCCTTCGTGTGGCGACTGATCACCCTGCTTGTCTTCAATTTGGTGGCATACTTCCCTACCGAGGTTACCTAGGGTAAGGCACCAAGGGTACCTAGATAGGTCGGTAGGTAGGTAGGTTGCATGTTTCCTCCATTGACTTCTTTCACTAGACCATGTATCGTGATCCATGGCCCTGTTCTTTCACAAGTCACGCCTCGTCGCTCATCCCCCACCACCCATCACCCAACCCATGACACCAACATCACAAATCGCCCACCTCCGCCCTCACCACTGTCGCGCATCCGACTGCGCCGGCCCACCATCGGCGACCCGTGTGGGGGGGCGCGACGCCGAGCTGGACGTAGCCGGCAGCGTTGCGCTTGGTGCTGACGGGCTTGAGGCGCGCGGTCAGGGCGTCAATGTGGCCGGCGATCATGGCGACGCCGTTGCCGGGCTCGTATTTCTGGCCGACGGTGAAGGCGATCAGGGCGCTGCCGTTGCGCGTGGTCCAGTACTTGCCGCCGGGCTCGAGCTTGCCGGGCCCAGTTGGCGCGGGCGGGGAGCTCCTGGAAACCGGGCATCGGCGAGCTTCGTCTTGAAGTGGGCGACGGTGTGGAAGATGGTGGGGTCTCGGTGAGAAGTCGCTGAGGTACTACGAGTAAGACATACGGCTGGCCAGCGGAGACGGCACAGAGACGGCACTCGGCTGCCGAGCTCAGCCTGACGTGGGGGGTGGTCGACAGGGCGAAAGGGAGCGAAAGCATGGCGTGCAGACGGGGTTCTCCTGGGGCGAGCGGCCAGCCATATCGGACAGGAGGTATTCACGTGTCGGTTGGCAGGCGGCTTGTTGGTCGGTGTTGGTGTCGAGGGATGATGCCATCGATTCGGCCTGCAATTGCATGGCGCGGAGGCGAAGGGACATGCTGGATGAGCTTGCGTGAAGATGCCTGTCTAGCGTTTGCTTCGTCATGGTGTCTGAAGACGGAGAAGCGTGTAAGGTTGATGAGATGAAATCGGCTCAGAGATGAGTATTGGTCGGGCGTGGCAGAGAGGGATAGGTGGTGTCTAGGGGAGGGGAGGGAAGGGAAGGGAAGAGGAGGGGAAGGGGACCACGAGGGAAGCCGCGAGGTTGTCATCAGAGGGAAGCTCAACAGCTGGAGCTTCCGCGTGACGTGTGTCATGTCGCCGCAGGCAGACGAGCAGTGATAAGATAAGGCAAGCCACAGCCTCGGCCCCTGCGCCGTTGCCAGGGGCACGCAAGGGTTAACTCGCTGGGGTCAGGCCGCTGGGTAGGGCTTGCTGGAGCACGGCCTCACTTAAGCTCAGCGCCCATAGGGGACCGTGGGGGTCTCTGACCGTCAGGCATTCGGCGGTCCCCAAGGCTGGCAGAGGGGTCGTCAGCCGTGGGGGTTCAGCCTCAGCACTTGATCTCGTGAACAGCCTCGACATTCCTCCCTCCTCCTGCCTACCTACCTAGGTACCTACCTCAAAGGTGGCCAACAAGTTCCATCATCAAGCTTTCCACCACATTCCATCTTACACCATTCATCTTGGCATACGAGATGCGGGTGGATCACCAGGCCGATACAGCAACATGAAAACGGTGACGTTGCATACTACTTCACCATCAATCTACTTCACCATCGATCATCGATACAAATCATCCATCATGTACTGACCACGACAGCCATCAGGTCCGTAGCCATGCAGGCATCCATCACGCCTCGACCTGGACCGGCACGGCCGATGCCACGGGCACAGCCACCGAAGGCATGGGTACGGGCTCGTCGGCGCCGTCCTCCTTCATGCCGCCGAGAATCATCGACTTGGGCGCCATGGCCTGCCACAGCTCCGGGTCCGTGAACGCCTTGAACTTCTCGTCGTGCCACTGGCCCGCCGTGATGGCCCGCCCCTCCGAGTCGACGAACATGGTGTCGTCCTCGGCCCGCAGAAAGTACGCCATCGAGTACCGGTGCTCCGTCGGGTCGAACGGCACCACGCGGTGGATGCAGCTCTGGAACTTCATGCCGCTGGCAAACCGCAGCGAGTCGCCCACGTGCACAAACGCGCACCCCGCCTTGGGCCGCACGAAGCCCATCTCGCGCGCGCCGCACGTCCCCGGCGGCCGCACCTGGAGGCCCCACTGCTCGCTGAAGAGGAGCGTCAGCGTGCTGATGTCCGTGTGCTTCTGGTGGCCGATGCGGTTCTGGCCGGCGAGCGCGCTCGGCAGGTAGTGCATCATGGAGAGCTGCTGCTGTCAGTGGGGGTTTCACGCTGAGAAGTGAGAACAGCAGAGAAAGGGTGTGGGAGAGGAGGAGGACCCGGGGGGGGGACGGGGGAGAGCGCACCGTTGTCGTCGACAGGCGGTCGTTGCGGTGCATGTTCTCGAACCGCCCGGCGCCCGTCAGCGCGAGGCCCGTCGACAGCGCCGACAGGATGACCTTGGTCACCGTGTTGCAGCTGCCGATGGCGTTTTCGAGGATGCGCATATCGGCGCTGTTCTTGACCGGCGCCGGGATGCGTGGGTTGTCGTGCTGAATCTCGTCACGCGACACCTTGAGCATCTCGTAGCCGTCCTTGGTGCCGGCGGCGACGCCGGTGCGGCTGCCGACGGGCTCATAGCTGCGGCGCGGTCAGCTTTTCTTTTCTTCTTACTCTCTTTTGTTTGGCGAGTTGTTTCTCTCTACTACAATTGACAATCAAGAGATCCAGGGGGGGGGGGGGTCAGCGCAGGAACATACCCCAAGTGGGACGAGATCAGGCCAAACTCGTTCTTGGCCTCAATGGGCGCATCGAAGAACCGCTTCATCAGCTTGAGCGTTTCCTGCTGGTCCGACAGCATGCGACGGCCGTCGATGCCCTGCAGGTCGAGGTAGAAGTACCCCTCCTCGAGACAGGCGTTGACGACCTTGTCGATCTCGCCGGGGTCCTGCGACAACAGCAGCCCGTAATCGATGGTCTGCATCGACCACACGGGCACCGGCTTGCCCATCCAGTCGACGGTCTCGGGGGGGTCAAGAACAGGGGCCATGGTGTCTGTCTGTCTGTCTGTGTGTTGTTGTACTGAGCTCGAGTCACCGAGTCGAAGAGTAAGTTGGCTCTACCCAAGACCCAACAGACAACATGGCACGAGTCGAGCACGATATATGTACCCTGCCTACGCACTTACCAAGTCAGGCAAGTCAGAGATCCTCCGGGTGAAGTCGCTGGCCCACGTGCATCTCGTCTGCACATCAACCTTCACGCAAGACTGCTCGAGCTTCTATTCCCCGTATATTGGCCTTCATCCTCAACCACCCCCCCCCGCGCCCCTCGTCGCGCGCCCCGCCCATATTGCGCGTCTTTCTTCCATAGTGCCCAGTACCAACCGCAGCAATATGTGGACCCCCGGCAGTTCATCCCGTTTGTTATCAACGAACGAGCGTCGTATTCTCACCGGACTATATGATCCCTAGAGCTTCTTAGCCTCTCCCCTTCTGGGGGGCCCGCTCGCCAGATGAGGGGTTCCGCTGCCTCCCCCCTCTTCTCTCCTTTGGCTCCTTTGGCTTCTATGGCTCCTTTGGCTCCTTTGGCTCCTTTGACGCTCTCCTTGCGCTGAGACCCCCGCCCTTCCCCCCTTGCCCCTCCTCGGAACATGCCCTTAGCAACGTGTCATTCAGTAGCAGACCAGGGCCCTGACCTCGATGCTTTGTCGAGACTCGCGTGTGGCGTACGCAGGGTCCTCAAACGCTGAATGCAGCGCCCGCCTCGCGACACCCTCGTCCGAATCGAAGCATTTGATGAGCAGCACGTCTCGCGGCGTCATGCCGTGCTTGTAAAACCATCTGTGCTCCGGATTGTGCCGTACAACCCACGACTCGCCGACGAACCCGTCCTCCGTCATCTCGGCGCCTGCCAGGTCCGCGTCGGGCACGGACGGTGCCGCCGCCACGGCGATGGGGTCCTTGAAGATGGGCTCGATGGGTCGCCAGATGTTGATGATTTGGTAGCGGCGTTTTACGAGCTCGTCTGCCTCTTCGCGCGAGGGGAACTCCCACCGCAGGCGCCGCTCGGCGCCGTCGTACGACTGGTCGACGTGCGTCCTGGTGACGGGACCGCGATTCGCGAGATTCTTTAGGCCGAGGTGATGCCACTGCGTCGGCCCCCTGCGCACCTTGTGGTTGAAGATGTGGACCATGCGCGCGCCCGTCGCAGACGTGAGAAGCTGCTTGCACTCTTCGTAGTAGGCCGCCTTGATCCGCTCCTCGTCGGCAAAGGCTTCCTCGATGCTGGCGTGGTGCAGATACTGAAAGCCGTGTTGGTCGAGGGTGTACTGGTCCTCCTCGCCGCTGATGTCTGATATGACAAACTTGTGCGCCTTGTGCGGCCGTTTGTTGCTGATCCTGCCCTTGCCGATGAAAATGGGTGTGGGCTTGGAGCCATCGCCGGGGTCGTCCCAATAATTCAGCGTCGTAGCCACGTTGTGCTTTTCGCCAACCATTATGCTGAGGAGAATGTAACGCCTGATGGGGTGGAGCTGGAAGACTTGGACGCAAAGGTAAGTAAGGTAAAGTATGCTGCCGGCAGCCGATCCATCATGGGGTTCAGCGCGCGCTCCCAATGTATTAATTAGTTGCCTGGTCTCTGTCCTCTTGATCTGCCACGAGGACGGGCCCATCCCCACTTTGAACCAGCAAGACCTGTCCTTTGGTTCGTATGAACGACTGGGGGGGTGACACCGGTCGTGGATCGCCCCAGCTAGGCTCCGTACGCGCTCTTATATCCTAGCGACACATCGATTCCCCTCCCACATCAGCTTACCACCAGGATGCCGCGTGTTGCCAACGGGACGAGGCATGCCGACGTTTTGCCCGCTGCTTCACTATGGAAGACGACTTTATCCTAGTTCCAAGACCTGGCGATCCCGAATACGCGCCCACAACCACACAAGAAGTCGACTACCTCGACGATGTGGACGAATTCATCCGGGCCCTGGAGCCTCTGCTCTGGCCGCTGAACACCTTTATCCACGAAAACCCGGAGCTCGCTTACAACGAGTACAAGGCGCACGATGCCCTGACCAACTTCATGAGGGCCCGGAAGGGCTGGAAGGTCACGCCATCTGCTTATGGCATGGAAACGGCGTGGACGGCTGAGTATGACACTGGCAGGCCCGGCCCCGTCATTGCTTTCAACGCCGAGATGGGTGCGTCATCCTCTTGGGGTGCTCCCACACCATCCTCACCACGTATAGACTGACCAAGGATGCAGATGCCCTCCCCAGCCTCGGCCACGCCTGCGGCCACAACCTCATCGCCATGGTCTCCCTGGCAGCAGGTCTCGCGACAGCCCAGACGCTCCACCGGCACAACCTCGCAGGCAAAGTCCTCCTCATCGGCACGCCGGCCGAAGAAGGCGGCGCCGGCGGCAAGATACGTTGCCTCCGCGCAGGCGCCTACAAGCACGTCGACGCAGCCCTCATCTCGCACCCGGGCATCCTCAACACAGCGCCCTCGTGCGCACGACGGCCTTTGTGCACCTCAACGCCACGTACCACGGCGGCGCCGCCACGCCGCCAACAGCCCCTGG